GTGTTCATAGAAAGTTTTTGTCTGATGTTTATTGGACATTCTTTGAATTGCGGGGGGGGGGGTGGGGGGGTGTTTTTGAAATTCAAGGAGTTTACGGCTCGCTCCTGGACTCTGGTCTTTGGATGATTCAGGGTCTCGCTAAATTTACGATGTCCGTCGCCGGGAGAAAAACCTGATTTCTGTTCGCAACCCTAATCCAGATTCCAGCAGAGAGCTGAGGGACTATTTTAGGTTTCGAGAATCGAGATCCCCCAGGAGAGGAGGGACCACAAGAGAGTCCAGAGTTCCAGACAGCTGGAAATATATTTTCAGATACATGTTTATCGAATCTAAAAATATATACCAATAAAATAACGTAAATATTATCAATTTTAATTTTTATCTATACACCACACAGTCACGAGGCGACGAGCACACCAGCACTGCAGCGGCAGCACATCCATGTTCCAATGCAACTTGTGTTGTCATTTGTCAAGTGTCAACTTGTCTCCGGCTCTCCACTGTTTTTTCCCCCCGCCGACCCCGGATCAAACTTCAAAGCTTTTTGTAAAATGAAATAAAAATGAAATAAAATAAAACATGTACGTTGTTCAATCAGAGTTATCATCATGAGAGGCGGGGTCTGGTCCAGACTGTATCACAGACAGCTCACCCAACGGCCAACTCCAACTGCCTGCGGCCCAGCCAGAGGAACGTCATTTTTATTATTATAGTAAAATGATATAATAAGCGTTCACTTTTGTCTTTTTGGCACGGCCCCTCAACGTCATCATGATCTCATCCAGCGGAAATAAAGTTTCCCTCTACTTTAAAAATACGACTCTCTCACTACTTCAAAAGTTGACGAGAGAGAGAGGTGTCGACATTGTATTTATATTTGTTTAAAAAAAAACTAGTGTAAATATTTAGACTGTAAAGTGTGAACACTAAACTGTAAAGTGACCCGAGAGCCAGAGACTTTATTAATATCCAATATCCAGTCTGGGACTCTGGTGGGCACCAGTCACTACAGCAGGTCAGCAAGGGGCGGGTTTCTTTTGGATAAATAAATGGGCGTTCACGGGTCACGTCACTTTAACGTTTTTTTATTAAATAAAGTAAAAACAAGATGGTCCTAAATAGACTCGTAGCCTCCTATTCTCCTAAATTAGAACGAGGCTTTTTGTTATCCATATAATATATGAACAGTATGAAGTCATAATTTTTTTTCTTCATAAAATGAGTAATACTGCACTGTACAAGGTAGCTAACGACAATGTTATACGTAGTGTAGATATAAGTTGAACGTTAACCGTTATTTTTTCAATTTATAAACGGTTTAACTTTTATAAACTCGATATTGGTCGCAATCGTGGATCTTGCACTTCAGAACTGCACCTATATTCAACAAAAACAGACAATTTTACATATATTGAAAGATGCACAACAATATCATTTGTTGTGTACGAAATAAAAATTGAACGTTAACCGCTATTTTTTAGTTATAAACGGTTTAACGTATAACTTTTGACGTTAGCACGGGAGTCTGTAGTCTGTAGTCTGTAGTCCGTACAGTACTGTATTTGGTGTTTTTTTTTGAAGGCTAAGGTATTTGTATGTACATTATGTAAACATTGTTTTTACATTATGTACCCCTTTGAATTTTGAAACGGATGGAGACTCTTCTCTGGTGAGGAGAGTTGGAGTAGAATGCGGAACACCTTTTCATGCTACAGTCAGAAAATATGTTCAATTTAAGAGGCTATGTATGTTTTTTTTTAAAGTTGAATTTATTGCCTGATGGCTGCTGGACTGGTAGTTCGCCGCTGGCCAAAGAGAAGGGTCGTCACACGATACACACACACACGCACACGTACACACACACGCACACACACACACACACACACGCACACACACGCACACACACGCACACACAAGCACACACACGCACACACACGCACACACACGCACACACACGCACACACACACACACAACAATGGGAGATACAAATTGCACATTCACCAAGGGTGAGGGAGGTAGGTGTACTTTACTGTGAGTGCGAGTAGTACTTGTGCACACCATACAAATCGAATGTGCTGTGTTGCATGCTGTGTTCGTGTTGTCGCTACAGCTGTTTGTTTAGGGTTGTACCTGTTCGTAGAAATTACAGGTGCACTTGTGCACACCATACAAATCGAATATGCTGTGTTGCATGCTGTGTTTACGTTGTCGCTACAGCTGTTTGTTTAGAGTTGTACCTGTTCGTAGAAATTACAGGTACACTTGTGTACACCATACAAATCGAATGTGCTGTGTTGCATGCTGTGTTTACGTTGTCGCTACAGCTGTTTGTTTAGGGTTGTACCTGTTCGTAGAAATTACAGGTACACTGTGCACACCATACAAATCGAATGTGCTGTGTTACATGCTGTGTTTGCGTTGTCGCTACAGCTGTATGTTAAAGGTCGTAACTGTTCGTAGAAAGTACAGGTAGCATACGTCATAGAAGGCGAGGAACAGTACAGCTTGGATGTGACTGAGGTATAGAGATAGTAATATGCGTACAAAAAGTGGATTGAACTCGTTGTATTGTGTCAAATCTTGCCATGTACTTGCGGTGGGATCGGATTGCGAGAGTAAGACTAGAGAAAGGCCACTATATAAACACCTACATACACACACACACATACACATACACACATACACACAGACACACAGACATACACACACACACACACGCACACACAGACACACAGACATACACACACACACACACGCACACACGCAC